CTTTTTTTTCCATGGACAGTTGAATTCATTACTAAATCTGCTTTCCACCTACTTTCAATTTTATAACAGCACATTGCTCCCTATCTGCCTTCTCTAGTAATATTCAGTTTAAATATAAACAGATATACCAGATATTGCAATGAGGTACCTACATTAAACAAAGTCTCATGTTTTTCTATTTTTGTTAAGATATATTTTCAGAACCAAATTTAAGAGACTTTTCAGATTGCCTTCCCATTCCTGCAATGGGATTACCCTAGAGCAGGACTGAAGTTTCTAATACTTTAGTCATTGTATCAGCCTTCAGTTGAAAATAACCTTCCATCATTTGCAAACTGCTGCAAAAAATCCAGTGGCAGGGCTCATTGACATAATTCCACTACTTGATATACCAATATCATCTATGTAAAGTGGAATATTTTGTATATACGCACATATGTAGGAAAGCAAGTAGGTAAGTAGGAGTACAGATATATTGAACAATGGATAAATAAATATATATAGTCTTCCAGCACTTCTGTTTTTGAACAAATCAGATGTGACTTTTCTGCATTTAACACTTTAATGCATCTTGTACTTACTTATGTAGAAAAAATGTAAATGAAAATTAATAGTTCATTATGCCCAGCAGAAAAAGCACCTCAGATTATATATCTCATCTAAATTGTTACTCCAAGCAGAGTGCAACTTTCAAATGTGCAATGTTCAGATCTGACCTACACTTTGATGAGGGGATGTGGGATTTTCAGTTTTCTCCCTCACAACATGTGCCCTCCAAATACTCTTTCAGTAAAACACCATTATCTTTGACAGTTTCAGAAGCAAATGTTTTAAGAAACTGCTCCTTAATTTGTTACGTTTAAGACATCATTTTCTATTATCATTCAGTCAGGCCCACCACAACTTTCTTTCCTCATCTGTTATTGTTTGCTAGAAAAGCTGCCAGTGCTGAGGGGGAGGGTAAATGTAGACATTCACCAGATGAGAAAATGAAGTTTTCTTGAAATAGATCTGATTTTTCATTTTCCCTTTCCCTTTCCTTTCCTTTCCTTTCCTTTCCTTTCCTTTCCTTTCCTTTCCTTTCCTTTCCTTTCCTTTCCTTTCCTTTCCTTTCCTTTCCTTTCCTTTCCTTTCTTTCCTTTCCTTTCCTCTTTCCTTTCCTTCCCGCACCTTCCCTTCCCGCATCTTCCCGCACCTTTCCTTTCCTTCCCTTTCCCCTCTCCCCTTTCCCCTTTCCTCTTTCCTCTTTCCTCTTTCCTCTTTCCTCTTTCCTCTTTCCTCTTTCCTCTTTCTTCTTTCCTCTTTCCTCTTTCCTCTTTCCTTATGGTGCTCTCCCATCTAAAAGCACAAGTTCAACTTCACCTCAATTCAATACTGGTAGCATGACCCTTAGTAGAATTAATAAATCCACCTATAATTTACTAAAGTCATTCACAGTTGTCCTCTCAGACAGTTCCCAAGGCCTATACTTTTAAGAAATGTTTCTGTCACCTGGTAAGAGAGGATACAAATAATGGACAGAGCAGGATAAGAGTGACTGTGTTTCATGATTGAACTCCCAAGAAGCTTTATGGCAGGCAGCACCAGTGCTGTCCTATTTCACCACAGCTGAAATAAAGCACTGGCATATTGGACTGCTGACCCTCACCTTAATCAGAAACAAGCTCAAATCAGAAAAATTGTGTAAAACAAGGGGACTGCACCTTGCTGAACTAAAGGGCATGGCTCTTGAGAGAAATCACAATGAATCCAAATCTCTCAAAGGGGTTAGAAAAGGAGGGGAAGCAAAAATGGTTTCATGCTACTTCCTATGACTATATCACAAGTCTTATTATGGAATTCATTCTTAAGGCACATATTCTTCCATGTCACTTTGTTTAGACCAGCAACAATCTCCTTGGAGAGATTGTCACTCCTAGTCACATGGCAATATGAGGAATAAGAATGCAGCCTCCAGCGTATTGGCTGTTACATTGCCAAAGGGGAAATAAATAAATCAATCAATATGTGGTTGAATGCATAGGATATTCATTCAGCACCACATGCTATTCCCATGGCAAGGCATGAGAGGAAGCACTGAAAAAAAGGGAAAGGGAAAAGACTTCTACAGAGTTACACCAGAAATAAGCAGAATTACCTCATAATCCAGTGATTAATTCACAGTGATGGTAAGGTTATTGATTATTCAGTGTCTGCATGTCACATTTTGCATAGTGGTCCTGGTGATCTTTGTGATTTATGCTGTAAAAAATTACAAACAACAACAACCAAAACACAAAAAAACCCCAAAAATCTACAAAAAAAAAAGCCTCAACAACAACAAAAGGCCTTACAGCAGAAAGGAAGGTGTTACACAGGTTGTTTCAACAGAGGCAATATCCCTAAGGATGAAGCACAGTGTTTTGTGCCTTCTGAATCTGACAGATGCAGAAGAAAGAAGATAAATTAAAAGATTTCTTTTCGAATAAATCTTCTATCATACCTGATTTTAAGTCAGTAGTATTGAAAACTGAAATAAATTAAAAACAAGAAAATTACAGAGGTGTCCATTGTGTCCCTGCAACCAAAATGTGTTGACAACAAACCTTAGAGTTGAATTGGCTCTCAAAAGAATTAAATATGTCCACCATTCCTACAATAAAAACCAGAACAGTAGTGCTAAAAAGTGAAAACTTAAGCCTCCTTCTTAAATAACTGAATGATTTGACAGATACATCACATCATTCATGTTTGCTTAAACCATTCTGGGTGAAAGCTAAAATTGACTTTAACTTCAAACTCTCCCTGAAATCTCCAGATGAAGTAAACACAAGCTTCTTGCATCTGGTTAAAAATAGATGCTTCTTTGAACGTGTTCATTAAAGCTAATTATTTGCATATGTGTTTAATCTCTATTTATAATGTAAATTTCAGGAGCATATATATATATATATATATACACACACACACACATATATATCCCTTTTTAGAATTTTTTTTCCATTCAGAATTTATAAAATATTAAATTTAATTTTTTTCAACTTCTTACTCTAGGTCTCCAAAATTAACTAAAATGTCTACACCCCTCTAAACATTTTTGCTCAGTGTTGAGAGGAGCAGCTTGAAGAAGGCAGATACACACAGGCAATATGGAAGTCAAAATAAATAGCTTCACAATTTCTATGAATTATGTGAATGGGGTTTTTCCCCTACTTGCACATACTTTCCTACTGTGACACCACAATACACATCTTGAATTAGGGATACAAAAACACACAGGAACTTCTAAATTTGAACATTTCCTTATGCTCAATTCACAACAGAAAATTAAAGAAATTTGGGATAGACGGCTTTGACTTTAACCTATGTGTTTCCTCTTTCCATGTGTTCCTGTACACTACATCATCCCCAGGGTTTGCAGTTTTATAAACCAAGTGCTGATTTACAATTTTCGTTGCTCCATGCTTGGCTGTGCCTATCAGCCTATTAAGAAATTAATAGGGTCTCAGTATCTGTCATTGCTATCTTTAAGCAGGAAAAAGGACATGCCAAGCCATAACTCTGATGCATTTGTAAATATGTTAATTGTGCCTTTCTCATTATTTAGCTTACTTAACTACTTGCCAATATCACTTTACTAAATACAAGTCATGAGAGATTACTTCAATATTTTAAAGATTATATCTGGATTCCTTTGAAATGCCAGACATCTTCTATTAATTGAAAACCAGTTTTCATGAGGATTACTGTAGAGAGATCACCAATCAGAGATAAAAGCTAATGTAAAACTGGTACACACTACTGACTGATTTTTAACCTCAAATACTAATGGAAGTTAGGTTTCTGAACTCAGCAGAGTGGTAACTAGATTTCAGTACCAGCAGTTCTCAGCCTGGGTGTAGAGCAGCTGCCAACAGTTCAATCAGGCTTTTGTGGCAAAGTATCTGGGATAGTTGTAAAATGGGATGCAAGAAAGGGAGCATATTTTTCTCCCCAGCACATCTGGGTGACACTACTAATGCTAACACAAGACTCTACAATCTCTTCAGACTGTGAAAGGATGGTGTCACTGTGTATCAATGTGCATAAGGAAGCATAACAAATACTAGTGATGATTTAATACATAATTTTCCCCTTTCTACATGAAAACCTGTGATTCTATGGAGGGTCCTATTCCATTTTAACTTTTGAGAGGACACTAGATGTGGATTTTTTGGATGTGCAGGGAGTAATAGCTCTTTTAACATTTAAAAGTAAAGTTTCCCGTTCTGGTATTTCATGAATGGGCTGCAATATCTTACGGGTTAACTGAGGTCTTATCTACACAAAATTTCAAAAATCCCCTTCCCTTTCAAGAGATGAAGTGAGATGGCAGCCTTTCGAGCAAGAAATCAGTGAATGTGAGCAAGAGAGGCAAAGAGTTGTGAGGGGGAAGAAGGAGGAAGAGCACATGCCTCTAAGAGTAAGCTAGTAATTTTCACCACTGGTATGCTCTTAAAAATAAGTGATAACCATCTTATGGGTTACAACTTTTTTGTCTCTATTGCTTGCCGTGTTTCTGTACCTCTCTCTTCTCTGAGACAGAAAGAAATGACTTATCCAAGGGGTGCAGAAAAAATTCACTCCTTAGCACACCAAACCACATTCATTTTGTATGTATTCATGCACATAAGATCACAAGCTGAAGAAGAAAAAAGAAGGAAAAAGGAAGAATCAACCAAGACATAGATGGAAGAGGAGGACATGGGTTCAAAATGTCAAGAGGGGAGGAATTATGTTTGTTCAAGTTTAAAGAAAAACAATATCCCAGACGTAGAAATTCTCTGTAACTTTAGTGTCTAGTCTCTGATATTCAAAGAAACCTTTGCATGATCTGCATGATTGAGGACACTCAAATCCTCCCAAGCTGCACATAAGATGTTTGATTCTCTGCACATCTGCTAAAATAAGCCTAAATTTCAACATTATGTTTGATATCCTTATCAAATAATAATATTATTTATATCATTATGTATCAAATATTATTTATAATGTATACTGCATTCCATGCATTCTCACAACAGTGCTATGCAGGAAGGAAAAAATTCCTAAAAAGCCAAATTGACCATTCTACCTGTGATCTTAGATTAGCAGCCATCCAAGGAGTCCGTTTGATTTGAGGCCATGATAGAGCTGATGAATTTACAGCTTCTGGACAGCAGAGAACTCAGGGGCATGTCGAAGCCCAACCAGACAGTGCTGGTAACTTATATCTCAAAAGTTTCAGCATCTTTTTGTTGATTGCTAATTTATATGCCTTAGCATGGAAAAGAAAGTGTGATAGAGTTTCTTATGGAGTTTAATTGTAAATGAGTGTAAATTGCATATTGACTCCTGCTGACAAGAGCTGAACCATTCATACTCCATGTAGAATTCAAACAGGATTTTTGTGTCGTGACAGTGAGCATCCAACACCAGGTAAAGGATGAGGCTTGTATCAGATGGTGCAAGAAGGTCTGCCATGTTCCATGTCTTTGGAAACCTGTGCCTAGATTCCTTCAGCACTGGGACTTTTGTCCATGAGTGGTCCTGCTGGACCCCTAAATCAACCTTAAATCCAGGCCTAAAGTTAGCCCCAAGTTGTGAGGCAAACCAAACACATACTTAATGTTTTCAGCCTATAAAGGAAAAGCAAAAGAGAAAGTCACAGATCCACAGAATTCACTAGGTTGGAAAAGACCTTGGAGATCATCAAGTCCAGCCTACTGTTAAACATGACCTTGTGAACTGAGTGCTACATTGTTCTTTTCTTAATCACCTCCAGAGTCAGTAATTCCACCATTTCCCTGGGCAGCCCATTCCAATGCCTAATGACTCTTTCTGTAAAGATTTTTTTTTTCTAATGTCTAGCTTAAACTGGTGCAGTTAAGACTGTGTCCTCTTGTCTTTTCACAAGTTGCCTGAGAGAAGAGGCCCATCCTCAGCTGGCTACAATCTCCAATCCCCTTTCAGGCAGCTGGAGAGAGTGATAAGGTCTCCCCTGAGCCTTCTCTTCTCCAGACTAAAAAACCCCAAATCCCAAAGCTGTTCTTCATCGGGCTTTTGTTCCAGGCTCTTCACCAGCCTTGTTGTCCTCCTCTGGGTGTGTTCCATCATCTCAATGTCCATCCTCCATTGAGGGGCCCAGAACTGCACAGAGTATTTAAGGTGCAGTCTAACTAGTGCTGAGTACAGGGAAAAAATATCTTGTGAAAGGGGAGAAATTAGACATATATGCCTTAGAAATAGAAAAAATGTTGGTAGAGTTTGACTCTATTCAACTCCCTTTCCATCCTTTAAACCAAAAAATAGTGTGAATGTTCTGAATACAGTATGTTTCACTAGTTAGAACTTTTTCCAGTGTAAAAGTAAAAGATTTGTGTCTTATTCCATTGCAGCCTGGGCTTCATACTCTTTATTTTGGTAGGCCATGGCTAAAGACATTTAGTGTTCTGGTTGGTATTTGTAAGTTTTTAAAAATGGTAACATATTCTTGTACCAAGAACAAGCTGTGGCCAGTCGCAGCAGTAACTTCATATTGGGCCCCCCAAAGCTGATTCCCCTGCAGTCCAGGGCAGGTGTAATGCAGTCAACAGCACTGACAGGTGAAAGACAAAGTCCTTGTAACCAAGCACTGCAAACCAAAGGAATATCATAAATATATGTGTAAAATGAAACTTGAATCAGAAGCATTAAGGGATGGAAGGCAGAAGAAAACACAGACTATATCTCAACTCTGTGCCACATGTCTTCCAATACAAAGAAAGAATTTATGACAAATCCTCCTTCATCTATTTTTCTTTTACACAATGGATGCCTAATGTATTTGGTGATTGATCCACTGCAGTAAGGAAGCAGTACAAGAATATACTGTCCTGACAGCGAATTCACTGTGAGAACTGCATTGAGCATCCTTCTCCAAACTTAAGAAATCCATGTTTTTTTAAAAAAAAGTTAAAAATATGTCTATATATGTGTTTCACAAAGTTTAAACATATGACAGGAAGCAGTACAACATTTTAACTTCTTTTCTTTGCTCTGCTATTTTTTTGTGGTGGCACTTTGGTCATACCTTCCATGAGTGTTTATCTTTTTTTCCCCTAGTTGAATTGGGTTTGTATAAGATAAATCGAGTTTAATGAGTTCCAGGTCTTTGAACTTCCTGATCACTGGTTCAGCTCTGTTATCCCTTTCTCTCTATCTGATGGTGTAAGAGTACATCATCAGCCAAGGAAGACAGTAAAGCCTCATCCCCACTCCCTGTCTGTTCACTCTTCAGGAGGCAGCAGGTAACAAAATGCTGCATCTAAAAAGGTGAGGGAATCATAGGGGAAGACTTTTACAGGAAGAGCTATGTTAGGTCTAAGCTGTAAATGGGAGTCTAAGATCTCTTTTTCTTCACCCTTAACCCAGAAAGCAGGAAAGGACAAGAAACAGTCATTTTCTAGTTCTGCAGTTATTGGTGAGGATCATGGGCTCTTATTTCACATGTGCCAGCTCATGGGAGACAGAATGGTGTTCAGACTGCATCTCATGAAAAGAAGCCTCAATGTTATTGAAGAGCAATGAGTAAAATGACCACTTAAACTGTGCTAATATAAAAAAAGCCTTGTCATTAATAGGATGATGTTGCTCTCCAAGGTGCACATCTCCTCTTCAAAATCTTTTATTCTAGAATTGGTGCATCTTACTATTAACCATGTACATGGGGAATTGCACCATTTGTTTTCAGGTTTTACATTTACAAAGAACGCTGATCTCTGATTGTAGAATCTCTCTCACAGTTACATGCAAAATATCTGAGGTATTACATAACCTCAGGTGTGGTCAAAGGGGAAAAAACATAGCTGTGGAATATTCCCTTTCTTCCTCATAAGAATGCCTCTACTGTTGCATGGTTTTAGCCATAGCAAAAGGTCTTCTGCTGCCACAGTAAGCACAGTCCTGTGATGTAAAAGAAAAGAGGGGGTGGGGAGAAGGTTTGCACAGCATTTTGTTCAGGGGAAAGCATGTGGCTCCCAATATACTCTGGAGACACAGTCAATCAATTTGTTCTATGCAAAGTCCAATCACAAGCTCATTAATCAGAAGCAAATGAGCTCCCCATACCCAAGAGGTGAGGCAAGTGATATGATTCCTGGAAGTAGCACTGCCTGGGATGCAAAATCAGAAATAAGAAATTCAAGCAGCTCCTCATCACTGATGCCTGCATTAAAGCAAGCTGTGAAAGAGAGGGAGATGGTAAGGAATAGAGATAGGTGATGGGATAGGGAGAGGGAGGAGAAAGAGAGGAGAACATGCATCCTAACATGACTTTTGGCTCCTGCCCCAGCACCTGCATTAACAGCAAAGACTTGCAATTGACAGATGCATAGAAATAGAGGACAGGCAATATCCCAGTCCTATAGAGCACCACCTTTACTTCGATGTTGCTTGAATTGTATTGTTTGTATTTCTGAATCTGCAGGATGTCCTAAAGGGCATCAGGGTGCCACTGAGTGCAGTTGAATGCACCAATAAAGTCTTCCACAAGTCACTCATCCAGAGATTGCCAAACACAAAAGAAGTGTCCTTTCAGTTTCTAGTAGTTCTCCACTACATATCATGGATCCCAAAGCCCTGGCAGCAGCTGCAGAGGACATAGATGGATGTGTGACTGCATGATCACTGCAGAAGGGCTTGGCTCTATTTACTACAACCAGCCAGGGCAGCAGGGCACATTCCTCCTCTCCTTTAATTTGATGTTGCTTTCTCACTCTGGAAAAAAAGAGGTAAAAGACAAGTGGTTTTCCACCAAAAGAGGCACAGCACAGGAAGAGTTAAAATAAGAAAGCCTGAATGTTTAATCTGCCAGAAACATATGAGAGGAGCAATCAAATCTGGGATAAGTAGCTCTGAATGAGGTATGCCTGATTGCTTTAGACCATGCTGTTTGTCAGTCTTTTAAAATTCAAGTCATTACCAGATGCTGATCTGCTCTAATATTGTGATATTTTATCTGATTACACTTATGTGATTGTGCTATATCTGCTATTTGCCTTCCCATTTTTCCATGTATATTAAATGCAGGTGGTTTTATTATTCAAAGAGATAGAAAGTGTTGACTGCTCTGAATATAAATGGGGATATTATATCATTACCTTGCTCTGAAAGCAGATTCATTCAGTGTGTAAATCATATGCAAGGTACCTAGTGGAGACACAATAAACCATAATGTCTTGAGAGAGAGAGCAATGAGAAAGAGATAAGGAGATAAAAATTTAAGGCATTGTTAAAAAAGGATAATCTTCGTAATCCTATTTAGTTCTTTCAAACCACCATTTGATAATATAACCTTTATATTAAAAACTTTTTTTAAGTTCATTGAGTATCTCTTGGTGAAGTTATTGTTACATGGAACCTTATCAATATTGAGACTGAATAAAAAACAAGATCACCAACCAACCAGGCATTTTAGCCGATTTCAAAAAATGCAGAAGAGGCCCACACATTTCTGCAAAGGCTTTGTGGACCCTTTTTCTAAAAAAAAAGTCTTACTGTGGGTAAAGGGATTTGGGATACCTTAGAAAAATATTTAGGAATCACTTACAGAATATCTGAAAAGCAGATCAGGATAACAGGGCAATCTGGGAATCCCTTTTTCTTGCAAGCAAGAAAATTCCCTTCAAAATTTCACAGTGATAAATTGAAAGCATGATAAATCCCACTGTGAGGATGTTTAGAAAAGTTACTGGATCATAGAAAGGCTAAGACTAGAGACACCTCTGAAGAAGAGCTAGCCTAGCTCCCTTGATGAGCTAGAGTAGGTTGATGAAGATAGTGTGAAGTTGCATATTGGATATCCTTCAGAGATGGAGATTCCACAACCACTCTGAGAAACCTGTCCAATTTCTCAAAATCCCACACAGGAAAAAAGGGTTTTCTTATGTTTAAATGAGTACTCCTGGTTTTCAGTTTGTGCCCATTACATTACATTATGTCCTGTCACGAGGCACATCTTCTTTACCTCCCCATGAGGTACTCATATATCTTGATAAGGTCAGCCCCAGCCTCCTCTTCTTCAGGCTGAACAGCCTCAGCTCTCTCAGTTCTAAGAAGAGGTGCTCCAGTCCTCTGATAATCTTTGTGGTGCTTCTCTGGACTTGTTCCAGTGTGTCCATGCTACTCTGGCAGGGGGAGCCCAGGACCAGGCATTCCAGGTGTGATCACCTCCAGATGTTGCTCCTCTCCTTTGGCTGTTGTCACATAACCTCTGGTAGTCTTGCTCAACCTCCAACAGCTGTGACAGACAGATCAAAGTAAATGCACAACAAATAAGTGAAAAAGTAAAATAGCTAATGCCTCCCCATCCCTGCCCCCATCAGTTCTGCTTGCATCTGCTTCTGCATCGTTCTGCTTCAGGATGACACCAGGGCTGCCAAGTCCCCTAAAAAGGTTACAGCACAGAGCCCCACCTCCTCTGTGTTACAGGAATGATTTCAGAGATTACAGGAATGATTTCTAGGAGTCCAGAGAGACATAGAGTTGGCCAAATGAGCAGTGTCTTTAAGTAAAGCAGAATAACCTTATGTAGATGCTGGTGGGGGAAAATGTATAGAAGGCAGACAAGGGGAGGCTATACAATTAACACATATCAGACATCAACTTTTCTGAAAAATAAGAATGCAAAAAAACCAAAAATATAAGGAGAAGGGGAAGCCAGTGAAAAGCCATGGTTGAACAGTTCAGAGACATAGAAGCTTAAGAAGAAAAGCTAGCAAAGAAAGAAAAACAAACAGGAGAGGGCCATAACTATCACAGGTTGGTTTAAGCTTGCAGGGTAAAGCATAACTGCAACAAAAGAAAAGTAAACTCTAGTGTAAGGTGACAGAATTTAAAGTAGAGGTGGCTTGAAGTCCAAACTGAGGAAACAGAAATGCTCTCCACTCTGTAAAGTGCACTTTCAGAAGCAGAAACCACAAAAACTTTGAAAAAAAAAAAATAGACATAGTCCTCCAAATAATGGCAAGAGTCAGATGGGCAAACCACTGGCTAAATACCTCTCTCACGAATCTTTACTGATTTTATCTGCCTGGAAAATTTTAAGTAACAGCCTATTGACATTGTCAATACATACAAATCTGGGCACTAAAGGAACTAACTGCCAAGCTTGAAGAAAAATGTGTGATTTTATCACAAATATCACAGAATCTTATGTTGATTAAGCCTCTGCTACTGCAGCCATGTGGCACAGGGAAATCCTTGTTTTGAGTTTGTATTTCCAAAGTAAGTTTTTAGTCCCATCTGTGAGAAGGATATTAAAGACATCAGCCTAACATTAAAAGTGCATAAAACAAATAAAAAGTACTTCATGTTTAAGCAACTATGTTTTTTAACATTTTCCAGAATATAATTTTCAAGAATTTTGAAACCTTGATCTATCATGCTTGAGCTCAGTTTCACTTCTTTCTCAAGTCTCCTGCATAGAAAAGCTAACAAGTGCCATACTGCTTTTCCCTGATAAGCTGTCTTTCTAATCACCATCTCATACATACAAAGCTGACCAACAGTGGGAAAAAATGGAGGACAAAAATATGAAGACAGTTCAAAAACTTCAAGAACTAATGGTTGAAGTGCAGTGTCAGTTCAAAGTATAGAGATTTCTGCAGGCAAGACACTTGCTGAACTGAACTAGGGCATTTTTAGAACTTTTTATCTCCTTCTGTTAGCAGTTCTTCAGAGGAGGAGCACTGGTTTTACTCAGCCTTCAGAATGAAACTGCTTGAGCTAGCACAGAGGCTCATTCCCATATCTGCTTGGCTGCAGCACCAGACCAAGGATTTAAAGATAAAATATGACCAAATGGAACCATTTTTTCTGTTATTTGACTTCTAAGATTGGAAAATAAAGGGAACATGGGACTAGATGGACTGTATTTGCATGTTGATAAAGCATTTTCGTGTTTTCAGGTTTCAGCATTTTTAAGGAAACTTACCTCAAAACTCACTCAATTTTGTTTGGATAAAAAACAGTATTTTACAGAATCTGAATGGAAGAGTTAGAAGTGTTAGAAGACAGTGCTGTAAATTTTCAAAGGTACCCAGATATTCATGGAAAAGGAACTCTGTCAGTCTCGTCTCTATTTAAAGACTTTCTTGTATTCCATTTTAGAGTGAATAAATATTACATTTGTGAAAGCTGCAAATTATACTAAATGTAGAGGGTCTGTAAACATCAATTAAGTCAGAATGAGGTCAAATCTCTTTTTAGGAGATTAGAAAGGCAGATTGATAAAATTTACTACAACGCTCCGTGTATGTTATTCTGCCAGGTGGTGCACTCAAGGTTAGAGGCTTTCCCAAAGTGCAAATGTGCCACCACAAAGACCTACGAAACCATAACAGGTAATCCTGGATGGACTTACATCAGACTTATTGGTCAAAAGGAGACATTTGAAACCTGTGGGTTTCAGATCCCTCTCTCAACTATTTTTCCTCTTGGTATAAAAGAAGATGGGAAGAGCAAGCTGGGCATTTCTCAAACAACTGTGACAGGCACAGAAGAGTTTGTCAATTCTTATTCACATTCATATGCAATAATTTGCCTTCCCCTAGAGAAAAGTCAACTCATTTGAGAAAATTATATGAGAAGAAAAACAGCTTGAACAGTTTCTTGTCTTTCTCTTGCATTTTTTATATGCTAATTCCTGTAATATCCCTGCTAAAAACACAACTTTGTTTTGATTGTTAAAGAGCAAGAAGCATCACTACAAACAGAGCCTGCAAAGTTGTGCAGTTCATTCTTCCGCCTTACAGAAAAGCCCTTCAGGCACAGTGTTGCAAAGCCTGAACGAGCTCTTCATCAAATCTACCAACAGCACACGTTTTCCAGCTACACACTGTGAATTCTCTAAGTACTGTGTTCCACTGCTGTGGCCAGGAGTGACTCTAGGCTGTATAGTATCCATTTTTATTTGATGAGAAAGCTCAGTCAGCTTCTTCAAGAGACCTGTTCAGACTGCTGTGGGAATTTTACAAAGACTTAATCTGGTTAATACATGTCCAGGAGTGTCATTTTCCAAAGGCCTCAATGACCTCTGAGTAGTGACAAAAGCGACTTTTTGGCTTTTATCACTCAGGTCAACCTAGCAAGAAATTACTTCTGGAACTATAATTCAACAACTTGATATGTTACAGAAATGGTGCATGCAGGAAATGGAGTAACAATTCCTCTGCTAAAAACTGTCACTGGGATAAACAGATGAATGTACAGTTCCATGATGCAATGTGTATTAGAATTAGAGAATCATGGAATATGCTGAGTTGAACGGGACCCATCAGGATCATCAAGTCCTGCTCCTGGCCCTGCACAGGACATCCCCAAGAGTCACACTATGTCCCTGAGAACATTGTATAAATGCTTCTCAAGCTCTGTCAGCATTGGTGCTGTGACCACTTCCCTGGGGACTCCATTCCAGTGCCCAACCTCCCCTCTGAGTGAAGAACCTTCTCCTAATATCCAGCCTAAATCTCCCATGACACAACTTCAGGCCATCCCCTCAGGTCCTGTCACTGTCACCACGGAGAGAAGATCAGTGCTGCCCCTCCTCTTCCCCTCACAAGGAAGCTGTAACTGCAGTGAGGTCTCCCCTCAGTGTCCTCCAGGCTGAACAGACCAAGTGACCTCAGCCACCCCTCATATGGCTTCACCTCAAGGCCCTTCACTATCCTCATGCCCTCCTTTGGACACTCTCTAACAGCTCAAGGTCTTTTTTGTGTTGTGGCACCCAGACCTGTCCCCAGTACTTGAGGTGCTCAGCTCATAGCAGGGCAGGACAATCCCCTCCCTTGCCCGGCTGTGATGCTGGGCCTGATGCACCCCAGGACACCGTGGCCCTCCTGCTGCCAGGGCACTGCTGGCTCAGGGTCAGCCTGAAATCAACCAGGTCCCTTTCCATGGAGATGCTCTTCAGCTTCTCATTCCCCAGTCTATACAGACAACCAGAGCTGCCCCATCCCAGATGTGGAATCTGGTACCTGGCCTTGTTAAATTTCAGAGCTTTGCAGACGTTAAGATACCATGCCACAGACTGTTGTTCCAAGGGAAATGTCAGTTTAAGGAGTACGAGATGCTGGGGCATTATTCCCTGTGCTGTCCCACAGTTACAGTGACACAACTTTCAGTAAAGAATTTCCTTGTAATATCTAATTCAAACCTACTCTCAGTTTGAAGCCATTGCCTCTTGTCCTATTTCTACAGTTCCATGTGAAGATTCCCTCTCTGGCTTCCTTGTAGGCTACCCTGGGATACTGGAATGATGCTATGAGATCTCCAGGCAACCTTCTCTTCTCCAGGCTGAACAGTGTCAACTTCCTTAATCTTTCTTCACAGAAGAGGTGTTCTTCTCATGTTTTAATGTTCCATTAGCTCTTAAAAAATGATGAATGCATTGGTGTAACACAGAATTATTTTATTAAGAAATACATCCTGCTTTGCTCACATCTGACCATCAAAATACATAAGCCAACCATTATTTCTGCCATTACTTAAAATGTTTCCATTTACAGATGGAGAAATTAAAATGTACACCAAATCTCTTGCAATGTCTTGTCTATTATTCCCTCTACAGCTATAGAGAAACTCATATTAAGCAACTACTAAAATAAACGAATTTTTGTGGAATCTATGATTCCTCCTGACCCTCTCAGCAAAATGCAGGGATTCAGAAGAGAATCCTGCCGAAAGAATGTTTAGTTCAAGCATATTCATCAAATGAGTCCACTCAGCTTTCACATACTATGGCAGTGGGTTTTCATGGAATGAAAACATTGGCAGCCACTAAATTCATCAATCCTGGCCATGAGCTGTTTCTGATTTTTCTTTCAAGAACTTTTGTGCAGTTAGTAGTGTGCTTTTATTCCACTTTAGCCACATGGAAACAGGCTTTTGTAGCTGTTAAAACCTTCACAAGCCAACACTTCTGCTGCATTTCTGAGCCACAAAAATATTTGCAGACCTGAAATAACATGCCTAAAATTTGACAAAAGAAATCACCCCTCAGTTGAATTTTGCAGCATGACTAGCATACAAATTCAGGCAGTCTAAAAAAGTATGTAGAAATCTGTTCCTGATTCTTTGCAGATGGCCCCTGAAATATATATCTAAATATGACAGCAGTGTATTCATTAGCAGTGTCATCAAAATAAATATTTTCAGTGACAAAAATACATGAAACGTAAAGGAAATATTGAGTCAGAGCATCATACTGTATAAACAAGCACAACACTGTTCAGAAAATTC